CACACTCCAGAACTGAAGAACACCATTGACAATTGGCGAGAAGAATCTTAGAACAATTAAAAATAAACCCAGTCCAAAAATTACTGCTTAAGATAGAAAAACAAAACAAAACGAAGCACATTGCCAGTGGCATTATTGATGTAATTTCTGAGTGAGGCTACGAGACAGATTTAAAACTCAATTACATCCTGAAGGAGAATAAAATGTGTTCACATTTTCCTGATGTACATTGATATATGTTACCATGTATTCAGGAACATGCTTCATGTGGTTTAAGTTTGCATGTATTCAGAAACATGCTTCTTGTGTTTTAAGTTTGGCCCACATCACTCATTAGATTTTATTCACAATGACATTAAGAAACATCATGTTTTCAAGAGTATAAGTTCTGGTTAACAAACAGAATATATTCCAAATCATACCCCAAAATATAATCAACTTATAAAAATAAATCCTTTGGTACAGGTTCTACTGAAATGTGTGTCATTACAAATATAGCAAATACAAGCAAATACAAATACAAGCAAGTCTATGGGCTATTTCCCCTAGCACTGAAAAACAAACATGAACATTTTAGCTGTTATATGCAACACTTTGGTTAGTAATTACTTAGTTTGCTATATTAACATTTCTACATAAACATATACTGCCTTTTTATGATGCATATTAATCTGTGATCTAATTTATATGAACTTAAAGCATATGCTAAATGTTGAACATCCTTCAAGAAAATTTTTTGAACAGATCTATCTTAACATTTTTTTCTTGGTAATAACACAATTATTATTCTAGGATAAACATATAATTTAGAGCTGAAGCTCTATTCTCAACAGCATCATTGTTAGGTTCTCTATTTTAAAATAGCCTTCTTAAAATGTGGTATATTTATTTACACAATGGACTATTACTCAGCTGTTAAAAACAGTGGCGTCAGGAAATTTGAAGGTGGACAGAACTCGAAGAAAAATCATCCTGAGTGAGGTAACCCAGACCCAGGAAGACAAACACGGTATGTACGCTCTCAGAAATGGGTATTAGCTGTAAAGTAAATGATAACCATGCTACAATCCACAACCCCAGAGAGACTTGGTAATAAGAATCCAGGGGAGGGGGAGGTGCATGGATTTCCCTGGGAAGGGGAAGTAGAAGAGAACTCCTGAGTACTGGACCTGAGCGACTGTGTTGAGGGCGGGATGGAGGAGGAGGAGTATACTGAAGTAGATGATCAGAAATGGGGAGTATTTGGGGGTCAGGTAAAAATCTGATGCAATGGAAACTACGCTGAATCTACAAGGATGACCCCAGCTAAGACTGAGCTGGCCATCTCCTGTAATTCAGTTCTATAACTACTTCAATTGCCATTGGAGAGCTATAGTCCAGTAACTGATGAACTCAGAAGCAGAGATCCCCAGCCAAGCACTGGGCTAAGGAGAGGGACTGTATAAGGGTCAGGGGTGTGTCAGGGTTATAACAAAAGAACCCACAGAACTAAGGACCATGGAGCACAGCTAGTGAGCCTGCACAGGACCAGCTTCTGGCCTCTGTATATGTGTGACAGTTTTGTGGCTTGCTCTACTTGTGGGACTCCAGGCAGTGGGGGTGTGGCCTGTCCCACTGGCTTTTTGGGAACGTGTTCCTAAAGCTGGGTTGCATTGCACAGGCTAAACACAAAGAGAAGAGTTCAGTCCTACCTCAACTTAGGATGCCATGCTTTGTCGGCACCCATGAGAAGCCTGCCCCTTTCTGAGCAGAGGTGAAGGAGGTGTGGCTATAGGAGAGGGATAGAGGGGGGATGAGGAGAGAGAATGGGAGGAAGACTGCAGGCAGGATGCAGATTAATGAGAAGATTTAATTAATAAAAATTTATCCCTCTTAAAAATACTTTTTAAAAGAGAAAGTAATTCTAAAGTCTTCTTGAGTTATCTCTGAAAAAATAGTAAACTGTTTTCTCTTTAGTGGTAAAACTAAGGAGTTTTCAAAAATTGTACTTAACATTTATTATTAAAATGACTAATACCAAACGTGCCTAGAGTTCTGCAAATTCAATCTTACCTGGATTGCTATTTATTAATACTATCATTGGGTGCACTAAGTAGACACATCCTAACTTTTGAAATAAAACAAGTTCCACAACTTTAGCCTTCAAAGTTAATTCTTACGTGCACACAAAGCAAAATTTTCATTTTTAATATTCCACTTGCTTAAACATTTCTCAGTGTCATGTTATACTAAAACATAAATCACTCCACTGTTTTATATCCTCATAAGAAACCATTCATCCACTAACTCACAGCTCCTGTTCATTAAATTTTACTTTTTAAGCGACTTTGAGATACTTAACAATGAAAATTTTATTGGCAAAATTGGTAGAAAGGTTTTATAAATATAATATGAATACACGTAAAAAAGACAACTTTTGAAATGGGAATTAGTATTTGATTATCTCATATGTCATATTTTAAATTAAAAATAAAACTTCAGTAGAATTTGAGATACGTATAATTTAATCCAACTTCTGATTCCCTAACTTATTTTTAAATTGTGGTTTTACAGTTCTGGGGACCAATTTTGAGCCTCAGTCATATTAAGCAGGAATTCTACCACTAGAAAGAAAGGCAGAGAGACATGGGAGAATTTTTAGATTTGTTCTTGTGTTCTGTTTGGTGGCTAATGTTCCAGTAATAAAATCAGTAATTCCACAAAAAAAAAAAAAAGAAAGAAAACAAAAAAAAACCAAATTTGTATCTTTAAAAATTATGCTTAAAGGAAAACCAATTTTAAAAGTTTAAAACAGAAGTGTGTGTGTGTGTGCGCGCGCGCGTGTGCATGCGTGTATGTGTGTGTGTGTGTGTGTGTGTGTGTGTGTGTGTGCATTTTTCTACCCAGTATCCAAAGATTCATACCCTTCTTTTCTGGTGGGAAGGACTGGGTAAAAGTTGCCTTTAGAACACATCTTCGCCCATGACCCTTTCCCACTAAAAATGGTTTCTTTCAATAGCTGTACTACCTACCCACCCAAAATTTCATACTGAAAAGTGTGCTTTCTTAAGTGATATGATATTGTCATCATTTTGACATGTATGTGTTAGATCAGATTTTTGTCACCACTTACAGAGGAAAGTAATCTAGTTTTGGTGTGAATGAGGAACAAATCCTGTTCAAATAATTCATTCTCCACTTATATATTTCTTGTTGGAATTAGTGTAAAGGTGAAGGAGGTACTTTCGAGGAGATAAATTTATTCTGATATATCTGTTACTATGAGCATGCTCCGTAAAAAGCAGAATGTAAAATATGTCACCTATAACATGTTACCTATAACATTTAAGCATATGTTTCACCTTTCTATATTTTACAGGGCTGTGAGTAGTGTAAATAGCTATGTGAGTCCAAAACATGTTTCCTGTATGAATCTAGAAGGTAATCACAGAAAGGGACTGGTAAGCGCTGCTGAGCTCCTGCTAGAAGTCAGTCAGTGAGGATGATGGTGTATCGTGAGGCACATAGTTTTGGACAGAAAACAATTTCAATCAAGATTATCATTTGAACATTCACTGATGCTTTAATGGAACCAAACCTGATGAACTTGAGTTGTATGTTGTCTTACTTAAGGTATTGCTATGTTGAAACACCATGACCAAAAGCAAGATGCGGAGGGGTGGTGGTGGATTTATTTGGCTCACACATCCAGGCTGCAGCTTCATCATTGAAGGAAGTCAGGACAGAGACTCAAGAAGGACTAGAATCTAAATACAGGAGCTGACACAGAGGCGATGGAGGGCTGTTGCTTCCTTTCTTTACCCTCTTGTACTTCTCAACCTGCTTTTCTTTTTTAAATAAAATCCAGGTTCACCAGCCCAGGGATGCACCACCCTCAATGGGCTGGGGCCCTCCCCATCAATCACTAAATAAGAAGATAGACTAGAGTTCAACCTTGTGGACCCATGTCCTCAGTGAGGTTCCCTCCTTTCAAATGACTCTAGCTTGTCTGAAGTTGACATAAATTTAGCCAGCACATGCATGCTCCTCATTAAATCTCACCGCACTCAAATAAAGCAAACAGTGATAAAAATTTATACATTGACCGTTTGCTAACATAAACTGGATGTGACTTATTACTTAATTTACATACTCTGGATTTTGTGTCTCAAGCCTGAGTCACAGGGAAATCATCTTAATTAATGCCTGTTGAAATCACTTGCTCAGTAAAAACTGTGATGTTCCAATACATCAAACTCCTCTTAGTATGTAAAATTTTCCCGCAAGGGATGAGGAAATTGTTCTGGGGTCAAGCACTTCCCACTCAAACATTAGAACCACTGTTTGGGTCCCCAGGACCTATGAAAATGAATGGTGGGCATGGTGCCCACTTGTAATTTTATATTGAGGGTTGCTTCTAAAATTCACTGTAGGCCTCTACATATCCATTTGCCCATGTACAAGTATCTGCCAATATGTACTCACACACATGCAAATATACATGCACCCTTGAGAACGCATTCCTTGTTTGTCTAAAAGACTCCTGGGTTGAGTAGGAAAGAAACAATGCAATCAAGAATCAGTGCAAATCACAGCATGCCTGCAATTTTTCTGTGTAAAAATCAAAATACTGTAAAACTCAAATCCAGTACTCAAATTTAGAATTATAAATTATCAAGTTAGTTGCAGCCTGTTATTTGACTAGAAATTATTCATGATTTCCTACAAAGCATTTACACTTTTTCCTCTTTTCTACTGGGAATTGAGTCTAGAGCATTGCGTATGTTAGGCAAGTATTCACCAATAAGCCACAACCCTAATTCTTTACACTTCTGTGTAACCAGAATGAATGTAGATTAATTATTTGAGAAGTAACCATTTCAAGAAGCCACCTGAACAATGCTACACTTTTAGTTACTTATGGCAATAACTGTATTTCAATAAGCCTCAATACAGGACACATACTATACAGCAACTGTCTGTTAAATGCAATACTTATATCTAATGATGGTCTAACTTACCGGTGGATCTGCCCCCTTAGAACCAGTCAGTCCTCCTGTTAGGGATTCGATGTCCTGAAAAGGGGGAAAGGGATGATTTTAAATGCTGCCCAATAGAATGCACTCAACAGCAATACCCAGGCCCATAGTGTATTGTCATCGGCAACAAAGCTAGGATGCTTCAGCTATTTTTGTTTTGTGACAATATTGGACCCTACAAAACTATAAAATGCCCTATATGTAAATATATAATTATTATCTCTGACTCTCTACGATGTATAAAAGGAAGAGTAAATGTAAGCGGGCAATTGATTTTGAAAAATAAAAATAAACTAGCTCTAGACAGGAAAATAAATGTTTTGAGGCAGAGAGCCAAAGGACACAGAGAACAACAAAAGAAATAAACCGCAATCAACATATTATTCTTGATAACATTACTTCATGATGGTACTGTATCCACAAAACTTTTAAATTATCTGTGGCCCATTCTGTTAATGCAAGTATAAAATGTTAGAAGATATGGGTAGCTTAGGTGTTCTTGTAAAAAGATTAATTCTTCCTGTTGAATTAACAACCAGAGAAGATAATACATAAGAAATGATAATATATGTCAGAGTTATTATGCACAGAGACATGAAAGATGCTAGAGGCAGTGACATTTATAGAAATGATGATAATTCTATTATATCAGTTCTAGGGATTAATGTAACTGATACTGATCATACAACTTTTTCAAAATAAACTACAATGTCAGGTGTTAAAACAAAATCTCACTAAGTTTTAATCACACACACACACACACACACACACACACACACACACACACACACACCAGTCTGCTCAATGGCTTCTTGCTACTAACCATAACTGACACTGACACCTTGATAAAAACACTCTGAAATATAATAGCTTAATCAAACCTTAGGTTTGAGAAGTTGTCACATAATATCTAAGACAGACTCTGTTCCCATCTTGCTGTAATCTGGTTTTCTGATGTTTCCACCAATGTGTTTTACACGTCTTAATTAATAACCTCCTATTTTTTTTCTGTTATGATTAAAACCCCATGAAACTGCCTCCATATTGGAACATATGTCTAAGGTAGCTTAAATCTATGTTTCTGGGCCACTGTTACTCAAATCTGGCTCTTAAAAAAAATAAAAACCAAAAACCTCTCTTGTTCCCTTTGCATTAGGAGCTGTGCTTTTGAATTAAGAGTAGAGAAATCAATAGATTAAAAAAAATAATATTAATAACTTGGTGGAACCCCAACCATGAAAAGGCATGTTAATGTTTAGACATTTCAATGCAATGTTGCCATCTACAGGGTTCACTCTGAAGAATTAAATAATTAAGTTACAAACCAAACAAAGCACGCCCCCCCCCCCACACACACACAGCAGCAAAGTAATCCTTTCCTAATGTTTAAATGCAGGTTACGATTTTATATTGGGCTATATTCACAGCCCTTTCAGCCTCAGCTGTTCTCTGACAAAGCAGCTTGCCTTTCCTTTGGCCTGCCATTGCTTCTACATAGCATAAAAAAAAAAAAAAAAAAAAAAAAAAGCCATGTTTTCTGACAATTATTGTAATTTTTATAGAAGACTATAAAATCTTTGACAGATGTGCCTGTTTTGTTATCTAAATGTATTCATCAACACATGTGTTGAACAAAAATAGCCGGTCTCAGCATGGACAGGAGAAAGATGGGCAGGAAGTTTTATCTCTCCCTGAGGAGCTATTGGCCATTCTTAGGTGCTAGATGGGGAAAGTCAGGTTCCTCTTTGAGTATTCTTGGAAAGTCAGCCTTGCTCCAGCAGCTTGATATACATCTAAGAATATTTAGGTAGCACAAATTGGCCTTTATGGGGTATGGGGGAAAGATGCAAAGTTGGGTGGTGTAGGCTGGTCAGTTTTATGTCAACTTCACATCGCTAGAGTCATTTGGGAAAAGGGAGCCTCAGTTGATAAAATGCACCCAAGAGATGGTCTCTTAATTCTTGAGTCATCTCTCCAGGCCCAACGCATTCTGAATTTCTATCTTTACCCTAGGTTTATCTTCCCATATTCACACTGTCTTTTCAATTTATATTTGGATATCTCTGGAGTTAAGTTTTGTTAAGTGGCTGAAACATCAATTTTCACCTCAACTTCTCCAAACTATGTACCTCATTCCATAACTGAATGAACTACTAGTTGTTCAGGTCGAAATCTATTATCAAATCCTACCACAAATGTCTTAATGGAAGTTTAACTTAGTTACCTTTAACAACCCCTAGCATCATAATCTCTAGGATTTGTTCAACAGTATCTAAAGAAACAGCAATATAATTGTTATCTATAAGTCTGTTTTTATCTTCCATTTCATCCCACCTTCTCTATTTTAAGTTCAAAATGGATTAACTAAATTCTTACCCCAAACAAGCTTACGCTTTTTTTTTTTTTTCAAAAACCTTAGAATAAAATTCAGCTTACTATTATGCTCTGCCTTACCTTGTGTGGTCTCAATTCAGACAATTCCTCTAATGCCATCTCTTGAAATGCTCTGTGTCCTATGCTATTCGGGTCATAGCAGTCTTAATTCATTTGCTAATTAATATAACCAGTCCGAGCATGGCTTTGGACCTTTTCATGTGTTTTTTTATTCTGTTCAAAGTGCACATTCCTCAAGCACCTTTCTAGTTGATTAATTGACTCACTTTGCTTACATACAAGATTAACTACCAAAATATCAAAATGGACTTGTTCAAAACAGTCAAGGTTTCACCTAGGGGGAAAAAAGGTTAAACTCAAAGAAGTTAAAGAAAGATGTATAATGAAGGGCCAATTAACAGATGTCTGAGGAATTTATCAGATCCGGGTGAAAGGTGAATAACTAGGACTGATAATAGCTGGAAGCTATGTAAGCCGTGAATATAAAAGAATAAAGTATTAGGGTAGTGCTGTTTGTCAATGTCCAGCAGGTGACAAATGCCATCTCTCATCCTCTAACAAGATTACCACACAGGAAAGTATTGGGAGATGTCATTCACAAAGTCTCAGTGTATTAATTGGGGCTGGTGCGGCGATGGGACAAGACCTGTGGCAGGTGGAAAAACCATACACCTTACAGGAAAGTTCAGTAAGTATTTATTGAGTGCAGAATGACTGAGCAAATGAATAAAGCATATGATATCACTCTGATAAGATCTGAAGCTTGGGGTGTGTGTGGTAAAACAGTTCTCACTTTTATATAAATGCATTCCTTGAAAAGCATAGCAATAGCACCAGACAATAATGTTTGTACAATGTATTTTCATAAAATTGAGAAATGAACAAAATAATGTATTACCTACCCATGATCACACAGATGGTGTATGCAGGAAAAAGCTTTGAAATTCCCCAGTGTTGTAACCTCAAGCTTAGTTTACTTTGGATTTTATCATCTATCACTAATGGGAAAGTGCTCAGCAATGCGATCTCATATTGAGACATTACATTTCTATACATATCAAGGTTTTTATAGCTCGTATGAAGGGATAAAATGTAAAAAACAAGACTTAGTAGATAGCACACAATACGTTAATTTTCTCCGGATGAAATACTGCCAATAGACATGATACGTATACTATCATTCAATGAATGAAAGTGTTTGAGACATTTACAGGTGCCTAGCATAAGAAAGTATTTCCAAGATGTTAAACTAGCATCCATAATGTTTACTTAACAGAAGGAATGCATACGGGAAGACAAATTTCACATGCTCTTTAGTGGGAACAATCTTTCATTTTAAAAAAGGACAGGCTCTTTAAGGCAAATATCCAAATCATAAAGTAAAATTTCTTAATGAGGCTGTTAGTGTTTCCTTGGCAACATTACAGGGTAAATTTCCTGGGGTCGGGGGGGGGGGCAGAGAAATAGAAAATGCACAAACCCATTTCATAAATATCACCCAGGGAGACAAAATAGCATCCTTTTCTGTTGCTTTGAAAATAGTTTATTTCAAATCTGATTTCCTTCCAGTTCTATAATTAACTCCATTCCAGAGGAAAGGCTGAGTATATAGTGTGATTGCGGTGATATGAGGTTCATAGTAGAAAGATAATGGTAAAGAAATGGAGTCAAAGCTTTAATAGCATTCGGAGTGTTGTGCAGAATCAGAATAGCAAAGAAAAGTCAGCCATCATACATACTTTGAATACTTAACCAAGATAGCATACCATACTGAACCTGAGGTATGGAATACAGTCTGTGAGATATACTTCTGACTTAAAGTTTTATTTCTCAAATCTAAGGCGGAGCCAATGCACAGGAAAATGTATGGAGGGATTCTGAAAAGAGACACATTAAAACACAGCAGTTGTAGTAAATGCATGGGTGACAGTAATTCTGAGCTGTACTTTGTCTTAGAATGCATATTAGTTTCCCCACAGAAACTACCTGAGCAGCAGTCATTAGCACTGACTACAGCATCTCAGCCCTCTTACCTGGTCTCAGTTCACACTTTCAAGGTGGTCAGCCTGGGACCTTCAGAGTTGAATAACTCCAGAGAGGTCATGTAAGTGACTAATAACTGTTCAAATTCAAATTCTGACTCCCGAGACAGAACACTGTGATGGCCAGAGGCTCTAAAATTGGCTGAAGTTTGAGCAAAGAATTGGAAAGGCTTGCTGGAATGCTGCAGAGAGGCCTGGGAAGCAATGCTAATTATGTGTCATATGAAGAACTGAAAGCAGGAGAAGAAGCATTTGAGGTAAGGAAGGTCTCAGATGGGACAGAGAAGAATCTGTACAGATAGGTGTAATTAATATGAAATTTAACAAATGAACATATATATGTATGTATGTATGTATGTATGTTCGTGTTTCTAATTTCAAAGTATTCTTTCCAGACTAAAGCCAAGGGGTGGGGAGCAGATCTGTTAGTGTTCAGGCATCGGTACTGGTCTGTCCTGTGGGTTCTGATGGGATATGCCTCCAGCTGCAGCCACTAAGAGCAACACCTGTGCACATTCACTGATTCACTGTGTTCCCTTTTAAAAGGGCCCTACCCACCTCCCGTCTCTCTCTCTCTCTCTCTCTCTCTCTCTCTCTCTC